TTACAAAATATGTTAAGATGTTTGTACTGTACATATACGGGCTGATTTTGGGTCTTTGATTTGGGCTGGCTAACATTAACAATAAATAAATAAAATAATAAATAATAACAATTAACAATTAAAACATTGCATTAAAATCTAATTTATTGCCCTATTTTTCACTTTCAGTTCAAACTAGTAATGTGCATTTGCACAAAGAAGAATACTTTAAAAAGATAACAATATAAAAAAATAAAAATAAATTATAATTTAATTCATGAAAAAAAATATGAATTAAGAAAATCATTCTCAAAATTGATTTTGATTAAATAATTGAAATGGAAGAGCCGTTACAACCATTTTCTTTATGCTAATACATCCGACTATTTTCATGAGTGGGTGCGACTTAAAATTTGAGTACAATTTTGTAACTCATTTGATTGGTTTATGATCATAATTTATGGCATTCAAGCAAGTTATTTTGTAACTTAAAAAAGAAATTGAATGTTGAAAATTTTGGAGGGATAATAAAATTTAATGCATGATAATATAATTTAATGTTTTGTTGTTCCTCTTTGGCTCTTTATATATATATATAGATTCAGGGCCTTGGATTTGGTACTATTGCACATTAGATGATGATGATGTAGCTTCATTTTATTTTTGGTGCATAATTATTTTTTAATTTCTTTTTTTAAAAAAATTGCGGTTAACTGAAACCGCACCGAACCGAACCGACCAAAAAATTTGGTGTGATTTTGGTTCGGTTTTTCTTATAATTTCGGTGCGATTCAGTTTGGATAAATGAACAGTTTCGGTTTCAGTGCGATTTTGCACCGAACCGCACCATGCTCACCCCTTCAAAGGATTACTATAAATCAACTTCAATTATCAGTTTTATAATTTCTGTCACCGTTAAACTTTCCTCTAATCTTTACTGTGCATTTTGCATTTTCCTACAACTCTCTTCATCCATTAAATTTTTAAACAGTTCACAGGAAAACTCTTTTTCAGAAACCTTTTACTCTACAATCTCCCTTCACAATTTCGAAAACCATTTTTGTTTTCGTCTGTGGTGCTTTTTCTTCAATAGGCAATTTTCCCATCAACAACGCATCCATCATAACACCATAAAACCCATCCATAAAATGCAAATGGAAAATTAACATCCTTTTTTTTTTATTTTTTTTTTATTTTTGGGTTTTAACTTAAATTTGATAGGGAAATGAAATCCACAACCCCCAATCGAATTAAATAACAAATACCATCCGCTGAACGAACAAGAAGCCATGATACAGTCATTAGCTAAATAATGAATTAAAACAGTCACCAAAATCGAATACAAACTACAGACACATCCTATTGCCTCCCCAAGATCAATCTGCATGAGAATAAAAGACGGGCACATTTGACCAAATGGAGAAAAAGTCGAGCCTACCAAATTATAGCCTATTGTAGCTGCTATATCCTCCGCCGCCCGACGAGCCATAGCCACCATAAGGTTGCTGCCCTGTAAAAGTCGAGGATGGATAAGAGCTGTTGCTAAACTGTGAGTAGGAAGACCTCAAACTCGACTCAAGCTTGCTGTAACTGCCAGGAAGTGGCTCTCTATGCCCTCCGATGAAGTCCTGTGATAATATGAATAATGTGTATTAGTTTGAGCACAACTTTCCTCACATTTAAAAAATAAATAAATTAATTAAAAAAAAATTTCCTCACATTAATAGCCGGGGTCCAGGAGAATTACTAAATAAATTAAGGGGTAGGAATGAACATTGCTTCTTCTTGGAGTCTTTGTGACTTCTATTATATCAGATTAGCATCAAGAAAATTCATCTTTATGCTATTTAGTCATCTTCACTTAATCAAAAACCATCCCCCCAGGTTTAGGGTGACTACTGCAAAAATCCTCAGATCTCTTTCAAATTACTACTAACCCCTTGATTCTTTTCTCCTTGAGAATTTTACACTTTCAAACAAGTGGGTGCTTGTAACACCTAAAGGGTGTTTTATGCAACTTCTGGAGATAACAAAAGGTTTTTGTTATTAGGTCAAAACCTCAGGCACTATTTACACTATATATACCAGTATAACCAAAAACGCCCAAATAATCGGCCTAGTGGCGACAAAACAAGATTCAATTTTCTAAAACCACATTGAATGTGAAGGAGCAAGCCAAAATAGGCAATAATAGCTGTCAATCATAGAGAAAAGTCACAAACTGTACCTGAATAAGTTGCTGTGCAGCTTGAACTTGCGAGGAGGTCCCTTTAATCTCCACGGTAATTTCCTCGGGTAGTCCTCGACTCTCTTCCACAGTAAGAATGGCACCACTCGTTCGCCGAATGTAATCAATGTTGGTCCCTTGAACACCTATAATATCCTCCGCATAAGCAAGAGGGATTTGCATAGTCTGTGCAATCTACACAAAGACATTAACCCTCATAAAATTAGCGACCATGCAGATAAAATACACAATCAGCAAGTTTAAAAAAAAAAAAAAAAAAGTAAAAAAAAAAAAAAAAAATGACATAAGATGCACGAACCTGAGTCACAACAGGTCCTCCAGAACGTCCTATAGCCACTGAAGAATGACTGACAAGCCCATGTTCTGATCCATACAATGAGAGCCTGGAAGGGGGAATATGTGATTCTATCTGGGTTTCGCGGTCAAGATAGAGATCCCTTTTTACAGGTAAAGGGTAATCGGCAGTCAGAGAGCTCTGTGAAGTGACGGGTAGTTTTGCTGTGTCAGACCAAGTGTCTACTTGTCCTCCTCCTGCGGCTGGTGAATTATACTGCAAAAGAGGGAGAACAATGTTCATACTTTTGAAATATTGTTCGATTCTTTTGAAATAGTGTGTGTGGATGTCTGTGTTCGAGAGTGAGAGAGAGAGAGAGAGAGTAATTACAAATTGTCATAATTAATGCATAAGACGACTTATAAATTATACTTCAGATTAATATCTAACATTTTTAATTTGTGAGTTATAGAAGCACATAAGATCTTTCCCAAATCAGATTCGTCAAAAGCCTCCGAGTTGTCAATTAAATCCAAACAGTTTTCCACTTACGCTTTTTTCAAACAAGGCAATAATGCTGTGATCCACTAAAAATTTTCTCAGGTGCCCAATAACAGCTTCCAAAGCTTTAAGAACTTTATAACCTTCCGCTTGTATCTCAACGATTCTTTCATCGGAACTGGCATAAATTGGCATTTCATCTGCAAAGGCCAACAAGAAGGGATCATAATTTCGTCCTGAAGTAGAAAATGACTCGTGGCACACAATTGTGTGATAAAAACATATACTGATACCATTAGAAAGCACCCGGACAGAAGCACCAGTATTTTCCTGGATAGATTTTATCAAGGAGCCTTGTTTTCCTATTAAGCTTATGGCCTGTGTTGATGCCACAAGCAACCGGATTGCACAAAATGAAGTCCCAGCAGCTGCTGTAGTTTGACCGTCACCATCATTCTCAGGCAGCCCATTTACACGTTTAAATATTCTTATTATGGCATCCATTGCTGGTGACAAGGGCGCTTCAGGTTCTTCCTTACCAGTTACCAAAACCTGTAATATTTTCCGGGTCAAAATCATGGGTTAAGGTAGAAAAATCAATTAAAACACAAACACAAAAGAGGAGGAAAAAATAAAGAAGGAACACAAGCCAAGTTAACAAGTTGACAATAGGTCTTTCAAACAATAATAGAAAGAAATCTACACAATACTGAAGAAAAGGGAACCGAATCATATACAACACAATAACCAATCAACAAACCCACACAAGTGTATTAGCAAAGTGCAAACCAAGAAAGCGCCTACTTTACTAATTTACGGGCGTTGTTGTTCAAATATTTAATATGACAATTGTCGATACCAAAAATTAGTTAGTGGGTGGCAGAGACAGTGAAAGGTTTGTAAGAGGATGAACTAGAGAAACATGACTACGAAAAAAAAAGACCTTTATATCCCAAGAAAACGGTGGCTTGAACAGAACCCAATAAACTATTACTGGAAACTTCCACTGGTAAAATTATTTACAAATTCCTCATACTTCAAGTCTAGGAAAATAAATCACAAGTGTTTTCTGGTAAATAAAACCATATCTTCAGGTAAATAAAAGTTATAAAACAAGTAGTTGCATTAAAAAAGAATTTGTCAAGATGTACTCCATCTTCACCTGATAGGAAGCACAATCCTTTAACACTAAAAACAAGAAAACAACCCCAGCCATAACATGTGTTAGAAGGTAAGTTCTTTAATAACAACACGTCATCTCCCAATCACCTAATTTGAAAAATAAAATAAATAAATATATAAAATTAATCACCCTAATGGCTACATACACCAGAAATTTACCAGAGTATTACATTCTTATTATTACTAAATTTGAAAATCTTAATCTCCATCAGGCATCAAGAATCAAGGACATCAGGAAAATCTTTCTCCACAATGAGCATTGAGCTAGCAACCATAGATGACAGTCCCTCTACCCCATTTTTCTTTGGATAATCAAAACCACAGTCAAAAGCATTCTTGCAAGAATGTATCCCGTGATATTTCTAAAGTTATAAATTGAAGATGAAAACAGTTTACAGTGGCGAACAACATAGCACAAAAAAACTACATGCACAGGGACATTTTTTTTATATATACAACAAGAGGAGATTTTATGGCAGCCTTTCTATAAAACCATATAGGGCTCAATTATGAAATCCCATTGTTGACTTTACATCCAACTAAGCATTACTTGGACTCAAGTTGGTGGGACACGTAGTACTTAGATTGATCCGAATTCTACAGATATAGTGAACATTTTAGGCTCTAAAATTTAATGGAACCTGCACCAAAATGCTAACCACACAATTAACTAAAGCTTTCTTATCAGTCCATGTAAAGCTTATGTCTTCTATGCAAAAAGGTTCAGTCCCGTGATTCTAAAAATTCACCTCAAGGGGAGGTGATAGGAACCTAAATACAGGTGTGCCCGTGATAAAGTTCGGAAATAAAAATTTTACCGAACCACTGAAAACTCCCCAACCACCATACGCATGTGAGTATTCAGTCTTCGTGTAAACAGAAAGGGGGTTCATAGAAATAAGCACAACATACAATCTAAGATCCCAATTTTAGCTTCCAATTCAGTTAAACAGCTAAAAACCCTAGAAAACATCATGCACGGCATAAGGCATTCAAAAACAAGAAAATTTGAATCTTAAAACCAGGTGTGCCCGTGATAAAGTTCAGAAATCAAAATTTTACCAAACCACTAAAATCTGATCCCTAACTACAAAATTCCCCAACCACCATACGCAAGCGAGTATTCAATGTTTGTGTAAACAGAGAAAGGGGGTTCATAGAATTACAATGCGATCCGGAGAGGTTAATGGGCCGTCCAGCACCCGAATCTTGGCGCGCGTCTCCTCCACTAGCTTCTTAACAATATCTCCTTTCCGCCCAATTATGCCGCCAACTTTCAAAACCGGAACCACTATCCGGAACACGTTGTAGCCTGGCCAGCCCGGCCACTTTGCCTTAATCTCCGCCAATTCCCTCTGCTTGTCGGAGTTCTTGGTCTCAGCCGCTGAGGGAGCTCCAGCTTCCTCGCCACTGTTTTCTGCTGCATCACCGGCGACGAATTGGTCCGAGGTGCTGACGCCGTTGTCTACGGCAGGTTGAGTTGAGGCCATCTACCGGAAGATTAACTCTATGGTTTTTGGAGCGCGAGGGTTTGTAGAAATTACGGGCTTATGGAGTGGTATGATAAAGAAGGGACGAGGGGGGAATGAGATTGAGGATAATGGGTGCAATTTAATTAACAAGTGCGCATTCTGACGATAATTATAAAAGAGCAATAAAATATCGATTAGTATAAAAATAATTTTGAATATTAATATTAATATTTTTTTATTTTATAATACTGTATCAAATCAATTCATACAAGTTAAATCAATTTTTTTTGTTATTTTATCTTCTAATCGACAATTAAGTCAAATAAAACGCAATAAATTATGGTGTTGATTGTCTGATAGGCTTTTCAAAACGGGCCTAGGCCCGCCCCGTCTGATAGGTGGATTGGGCTGATATTTTAAAGGCCCGCCAAAGAGCGGGCCAAATCGGGCTGGCCCGTGTGGGCTGTGGGTTTTAGCGGGCCAGGTCAGACGGGCTGCGTGCCAGCCCGCCATTAAAAGAAAAGGCTTTTAATCTTATTTATAATACCCAGCCCTCATTTTTCCCACAATTTGACCCAGCCCAGTAACTCCATACTCAACTTTCGATGGGTTAGTTAGCCCATTTAGCCTTGGCCCCCTAACTCCACAGCCCAAATCACTGCTACACTGTTACACTAGAAATGGGCGAAATTAAAAATCAACATTAGCATGATTGGTATGATGGAATGGAATTTCGTAGGAATGGAATGAATTGAAGAATTGAATGATTATGGGAATGGAATGAAACATGTTTTGTCATTGATGCGTTTGGTACGCAGAAGGAATAGGATTTGGAATAAAATGACATTTCATTTTTATTATAAAAATAAATTAAAGCTTTTTTTAAAAAATAATATACTTTTAATAAATTATATATAAATGCCTTTTCAATAATATATAAAAATAGAATAATATATTTTTAATAATATATAAAATAAAATAATATACCTTTCAATTATATAAAATAAAAATATTATATTTTTAATAATATATAAAAAATAATATAATATATAAAAAATAATATATTCTTAGAAGTAATATATTTTTAATATATAAAAAATAATATATTTTTAATATATAAAAAATAATATATTTGTAATAATATTTAAAAATAAAAAATAGAATATTTTTAATAATATATATTTTATTTTTTAATTAAACAATAAATAAAAGTAAGTTTTCAATTTTTTATTTGAATTTTATTTTTAAAATTTTTTTATTTTATTTTCTTTCAATAATTTTATTTAATATATTTTAATCATGATTTATAATATATATTATATATTTATTTTTTATTATTATTTGTTAATTTTATTTTTTGAAAAATTGATTCCTACACACATGGGAATGGGAAAAC